AGGAACTACTTCAAGGGCTACTTGTTCTCTGAAACTCACTGAATTCACTTTGCTGGGCATTGGGCGGTGTAGGACTGTAAACCCTTCAGATAGGGGCCATCTGTCTGTAAAAGTCTCTGTTCTTTTTTTTTTTTGTGTGTGTGTGGCTATTTTGGATGGATACATTAGATGCAGGAGGATGCTGTGCTGTGTAAAATCACGTTATGAAAATGGAAAGAGTGATGGAAACAACAGATCAATGTACCAGATTGAAGTGGATTAAAAGTGCAGGAGAATGGAGTGAGGCTAAAGAGATTCTTGTAAATCAAGCAAAAAGCTGAAGTGGGGAAAAGAGAGAGAGGATAAGAATGTGCTGGAAAGTCAAGGTGTCCTCCATCCTATCTTATGGCAACAGGTTTAAGTTGGGACTGGCAAACGATGCACAAGTCTCAGTTTTGTATGAAACTAATAATGGAGAGAATGAAATAGTCCTACAAGGAGAAGAAAGAATTGTAGGAAAGCAGGCAGGTGACAGCTTTCCAGGGCTTGCTGGTGGAAGGAGATAGGGAGGAGAAATGTGTTGCTGGGTAAGCCACAGCTGAAGGACATGCTGGTGACTGGAGTTTGTGTGCGAAGGGGCAGTTCTGGTGATGGCAAGAGCATGTGAGTGTGAGCTCTTTAGGTGGTGGAACTAAACTAAATAAAGAGCTAGCTGAGCATGGGGCAAAAGGGAGGAGGTCTAGTGTTGCTTTAAGGTAAGAGACTAGAGTCAGAAGGGTTCCATGCCAAAAGCTTTAAGCGTAGTGACTGGTCTGATGAATGGAGGAGAGGAACTGCAGGGACACTAGCAAGTCCTGATGCCAACTTGAAAAGACCGTCTATACTTGTCTTATTATCAAGGGGGAAGAAAATTATCCTAAATTAGATTGTTGGGATTCTTCCAGATGAATGAAGTTTAGGAAAGGCATCATTATACCACTGTTTTTTCTCCAATGCAATGACTGTAAACATAAAAGCTGTGTAGGGAATGAAAAAGGAGTGATTGCAAGAATAGGTATGGCCCTGTGGGGCTCTTGCTCTCATCAGTGGCATTTGTTAGTGCTGCCAAACAGACTTGTTATGAGCAGAATATAACTTATTAGTGAACTGGCAGAGAGCCAGGTGACAGGTAACTCAGCACAGAGTCCTCTCCTGTCAAGAGTTAGTTATACACCTGCTTTCATTGCACAGGTTACAAACCCGTAGGTCTCATGTTCTCCTTTGTCTTCTTAAGGAGTAGGCTTAATGGGAAATTGGAGAGGTTGCTTCTTGCCTTGTCTTCCTGCTCACATTTGCTAAGAGTTGGTTTCTGGTGAGTGAGGTACCATCTGGAATACAGTGTTCTTCCCAGGAAATATTGATAATCTCCCAGTTGACTTCACTATGAGTGGGAGTAAGAACCGAGCTGGACACAAAGAATAAAATTCAGCCCATCGTAAACAGGCAAAAATCCCGTAGAAAACTGATGGGGCTCGTGACTTGAATCAAAGCTGATTTGCCTCACACAGCTCAATCCAAATGCAGTCTGCAATACAGCAGATAATGGATTTTAGATTGTTTCAAGACATTTTATCCCTTGTTGCTCTTGCTACACTTTGGCACTGCTTTTTGTTTAAGATGTTCCTGTAATTGTCTTATGCTAAGCAAGAATTGATGTGTGATCTGAGCATGATGCACTTAGAGCCCAATGGCTGGTGTATCAAGATGGATAAATCGAAGCACTTGTTGTGTGTATCTCACATATATGACTGCTATATTTATTGCCAAAAGAGGATGGATGTAATGCTAAATGATTTTGTACTATGGGCCTGCTAGCACTTCTCTAATGATACTGTTGGGAGCTCTCTGCTTCCCCCCTTGCTTTTACTGGTATACTAAGGTGCCTGGAGAGGTCTGCTTTCTCTTTGAGGAAGGAGGTCAGGCTAGAAAATAGGCCAGAGAAAGGAACTTCTAAAGGAAAAAGGGATGTAGGGATTGGAATTATTCTTCATAGCCTTGACTGAACTGCAGATATGGTGTGCGTTACCCAGCATATCTCAAGTTTGGGATATTTGCTTCCCCCAAATAAAAGTTGTCCATGTCACAAAACCATTGCACGTAACTCTGCACATATTGATATGTAAAACTGCCTTCGCAGAATAAATGCTCAAGGATAAATCTTGCATGATGAATAAATCGGCTCTTGCTCTCCTTAGCTCTTTCAGGTGAGGCAGACATACAATGCAGAGTCAGCTAACCTGCAGACCTAGCAAAAAAATGAATCTTTTTTCCTGTGTTAGGCATGTCATCAGAGGAGATACTTGAGACAACTCTATTACAGGTGCAGTCAAATCAATAAGGCATATGCATTCCTCTTTCCTAGATGACTCCTTCCATTTCATAAATTCCTAATTTTAAGAAGAGAAAAGTAAGCACATATTATTCAGTACAATGTTTCATGTCGTACAGATCTCCTTTTCTGGCACACTGCTGCTGTTTGAATAGGCCAGTTTTAAGAAGGGTTTTTTACATATTGTTTTCACTTAGGGCAGTGCAAATTTCTTTGGAAATATATGACAATCAATTAAGTAAATGAGAAAATAGAATGCTTGTAATTAGGATAATCAAGCTACATGAAATCTATCCTACTAGTGCTAATATCTGTGTATCTCCAAGCTGTATATTAATTAAACACCATGTAAGAGTTGCAATTAGACTCAGGCTGCAATGGTGAAAATGAGCAAAAAATGATTGGAGGGGTTTTTACTGTATGTGAAACACTTAATTCCTTTAAAGCATCTCATTTGTGAGGTTGCTGCATTGCTGCAGACACTCCTGGGATGCCTGGGGACTCTGTAGCCATCTTCAGCTGCTTCTGAAACAAATGACCCAAAGAAAATACACTTTGGGTTGCAAAAACTATATTTCTCTCAGGGGTGTGTGTTATTTTCCCCTCAATTTCATGACTGACTTCGGGTTATTGAGCTCTGAAACCAGTAGTGAAAGAGGTTAGATATTTTGCTCTATATGGGAAACTGCAAAAGGGAGAATGGAGATAAGAGGAATCATTCTGACTAGTTCTTAAAGTAAATGGGACTTTTTGTTCTTTTGTTTCATGTTTTAATTTTGATGTGAAGACCCTAAGGTCACCCAGACCTTCCTAATGGACAAAGTAGCAGTTTATATTGGGAGATGAACACTACATGAGATTGACTGGATAATCCAGGTGTATTCAGATTGTGCTTCGCTTATTTCCGGGTGCCTCTGGGGGGCTTAGGGAAGCAAAAAAGCTCTGTCAGGGTCAGCACGTGGCTCTCTGAGGCCAGGGGAGAACCCTCCATATGGGCATCCTCCTGGCGGTCACACAGCAACTTCAGAGTGTTTATTGTGGTTTTACGAGATGTGGGGTTTGGGATGTTTTTGCTGTCTCTTTTTCTCCAGTGTGTAGCTTTTGATATCTGCAACCATACACATTAAGGTGCCATGGAGGAAGTGGAAGAATCATGTTGCAGGACCAAGGGAGTCAAGCAGCTTTGCCACCTTAAAACTGCCAAGCTTTAGTCTCAGTAGCCGGGGATGCCAAAGCAGATGCACAGGGCAAAGCAGGGCTAATGTGGCAGATATTACCATGGCTGTTTTAAGATTAAGTCTTTGGAGTTAAATGAAGTAGTACACCTGATCAGTGTGGACATCAGCTTGATGAAGTTGTTGCACGAATAATGAATAAAAGTAATATTTTTGTTGTGTTTATTTTTCCAATTATTTTTTAAAAATCTATTTTTACAGCACAATGTAATTCCTTATGACAAATGAGCCGATTCACTGGTGTTTTCAGATAATACCATTTACATTTCTAAAAAGAAGTGAAGAAGAAGAAAACTGTACAGGACACCTTCAGTTTTTCATTTGACTTTGTTCTTGATTTTTTTTTTTTTTTTTATTATTTGACATTGATACAAAAAAATAGTATCTTGATTAGCAGCTTTGCTGGCAATCCCACAAAACTGTAAATAATACTTTAATCTAAAAGAATGCACTCCTACAGACACTATAGATAAAACAATATATACAATTTAGACAAATAAATACATAAGTACAGCCAGTCATATATAATGATACACCTAAAGTTCGGTTACTGTTGACGAGCTTTTCTAGTTAATTACACTCTTCATTTACAAATTGCCATTGCCATCTACATTATAAAGAAAAAAAAAAATCCCAATAAAGAATCAAAATTGATACTTAACATTATTATTAGGAAAGACGGAAAATGAACCTTGAGACTTCTATTTAAATACTCTCATGGTTTTAACAAAAAAAACCCGCTTTTGTGAAAAACTCCTCCTGAAGAGAGGCATTTCCCCACCCCCCCGCAGCTTCTTTGCTCAACGTGCTTTGTTCATGTACGGTTTGGAATTGGTGTCACATTTCAGAAGTGACTAGAAGCCAGCACATCTTAAACAAGTTGTCATTTGTCCCGTGCATAGTGAAACAAAGTAACATTTAAATAATATAAATATTTATTTTGGTTAAAGGAAGCCCAATGCAAATGCTTGTTTATTAACAATACCTCATGTGGCAAAAATACTACTGGGTGGAAGAGACAACAAGCTGTCCCTGTGAGTAGATGTATTGCTCCCTTTCTAGCTCCAGGTTGCAATACTGCAATTTCTTAGCAAAGAGAAAATAATAAATCTGTTACATAAGTGTAACAAGGTAGTGAAATCTAGAATCAGAAAATTAATAGAAGTAGAAAATTAGGCTTTTTTTCTTTTGTGTTCTTTTAAATTCACTAGACAATAAAAGGAAAAAAAATCTTGTACATTCAAAAGTTAGGGCACACATGCTTAAGGCTCTTGAAACACTGGACAAGTATAATGCCTAACTCAGCTCCATGCATAACAGAATTCTATGTAGCAAGCAGACTCTACACATATATACAGCTGAATACAGAAGAAAATGCCTTAGAAATATGTACATAATTTCCAAGATGAACATACACATTTCTCTTGAAGATCTACCTATTTATAAATGGCAGGGAATATATTTTTGGGGGATACTATTTTCAAGGTGTACCTTCCAATCATTAATGCAGTCTACTTGTACTAGGAGAAATTCAAGGCTACTGTGCTATGCGAGCCCTGAGGATTCTGGACAGGGAGCCCTGCTGTCCTCTTGGTTACTAACCAAAGGCCACAGAAGCATCAGCAGGAGAAGTAAGGCCACCAAATCCATTTGGTTGTGGATTCAGAAACCCCAAATTACTGCACAGTGCAGAGGGATAGCACAAATAATTGCAACCTATGGGTTGAAATTATTACAAAGTGTAATAATGTAGTGTCCAGTAGGACACTATCCATGCTGTCTGATTTACCAAAGGGCTGGGGATGAGTTCCACCCTAGTTTCCCTTCCTAAACCACATATTATGGGGCTTGGATAAGGAAAGCTGAACTTCACTCAGTGTGTGTGTATTATATATTAATCTATGCAATTAGTTAGACCTTGTTTAGCTAAAGTTCTGAGTTTGACAGGAACCAAGAGCAGCTTTGAAAAGTACTAAGTCAATTAGGAAAGGATAAATCTTAATTATGATGTAATAGATTCACTATTTTTATATAAAATTACCGATTTTCATTTGTGAAGGATGCACAAGCTCCTGTTGATTAGTAATAATTCCTAAGCTATCTTGTGTAGCTTCACCTTCAGATCTGAAGAGGATTGTTTGAGATACCTACTCTTTGTGGTTTGAAGGACAGGTACACTTTACCTTATTTACAAGTAGTTAATTTCAAAATGACAATGCTGCATCTGTGAATAGGACTAGCAATTTTTTCATGAAACTACAAACCTTTTGGGGTAGCATCTTCATTCCTCTGTACTGTCGTAAAGTGCTATGTACACTTAGGGCAAAATCAGGTCAGAGTTTTCCTTTAAATTCTCATTCAATTAATTTCTGACAACTTTATAGACATCCTGAATAATGTACAGACTTAACAGTTTTTCATGTTACACATAATGCCAGTTGAAATGAATGAGACTCTTTTGCGTGCTATGGATGGTCTGAGTAATCTACACCCAATAACGTATTTGGTGAGTTTTGTATCTTTGTGATTTGTCTGTGAATTCTTCCTTCTAAATTATTTGCTGAGCAATGTCATATTTTAGCTGTTTGTTAGAAGGTGGTGCTGAATAAAGAAGGCTTGAATTTGTTGAAGAATTTTGCAGGAAATAATTTTCATAACACTTCATTAGCATTCATATTCAAAACACATAAGCACTTTATGAAACCTGAATAAAATCTTGTGTATTTAATTTCTCTTGCATGTTCTGGCGATCTCTTGAGGGGGGACCTCAGTGAGTATTGGCTTTGTGATGAGTAACCTGGGAGCTGCAGATTTGTAACAAAGGCTAGAATTTGTTTTCCTTAGTAGGTGATTCTTAAAAGCCCTCTATAGAGCTTACGCTTAAAAAGCTGCTTTTGTGTTACTTTTTTTAGGTAAATAGCATACTGACTGATGTTAAAGAAATATGTTGCTTACTAATACTTTTATCATTCAATATAATTAAGCATCTTGCATAGCAATAGATAATGGAGAGATCCACTGATACTAATGAGAAACATTGCCCTTGCTTTGAAGTTAAAAGTAATTCATACTTTTATCATGTGTTTTTAAGATAGTTTTTCATACATCTCTACTGCCTTATTTCACCTACATGTTCTACTTCATTTTAAAATTATGTTAGATCTTTTAGGGGCTACTTTAGCCAGTAGAAAGTAATGGGGTGTCTTGTGAAATAACTTAAAGGAATACTGTTTGGTGGATAAGAATATACTTCAGTGTTTGGGTTTGTTTCTAAGACCTATGAGACTTTGATGTTCTTACCTATCTGAATTCTGCTATTATAACTTTAGTAAGATGTTTGGGAATTGCACGTGTTGTACTATAAAATATATATATGTGTCAAGATAGGTGTATAAGGTCAGTGCAATTTATTAACAAAGATCTAATAGAAATGGTTGTAGGGTGTCAGAAAAGGAATAAAATTATATTTGTAATTATTCATTTCTTAGGGCCTGAGTCTTATCTCAGCGGCCAGAGCATGAACTATTAAGCAGCTCATGATAGCTTATTACTGTCCTTTACATACAGATGCAGGAGCTGATATGTGTGATAGAGGATAATATACAAAATCTGAGGTTTGACTCTAGATCTTTTCGGTTGGTATAATGTCCTTATGAAAAGAGCCTGAAGTCTGTAAACCAGTAGTCAAAATGAGAATGAAAAATCAGTCATTAAAAATCCTCTCACAGTTAATATCCCACAGTTTAACCTGTAAATCAGCAGATCAGTTTGTCAAAAAATAACCAGACTAAATCAAAATTTAAAAAAAAAAGGTATTTACATCTGTAAAAATCTTAACATCTAAGATGTTTCTTGCTGGACATGTCATTCCAAATTCTGTGCATTTCTTCTGGTGTTATCTGGTGCACCGTGATCACTCTGCGGTACCTGCACAAGCTATAGGCCATTTTCCAGTGATTGAAGCCACTGTTTTGGAAGGGGTGAATGCCCAACTTCCGAAGGCAGAGTCCAACATACACATCTTCAAGATGAAGAAGTCTTGTGTGAAGGGAGGTTTTGTAAATCAGTTCTGCTACGTCAGCTGAAAATATGTAGCCGGTGCCTGAACAGAAGGGTGGATAATTGCTGTCAGGGTACAAATCTCTTGGCATGTACCACTTACTGCGAACATCTCGTATTGGTCCTCCGTTTATAACATAACCTGTGAAGTACCTTCTCCTTGGCTTGGTGTTAGGTTTGAGCAGTTTATAAATAAGATTATCCATATTTACAAAAATATCACTGTCTGTCTTCATAACATATTTTGCTTTTGAACAAAACGTTGCTACCCACCTCATCCCCATCAATGTTTTCAGGGTGAGATTATGATAAGAGTCAATAAAATCCTCCACAATAATGTCATGAAAAATTTGGCTTTCTTGCTCTACCATTTGATTTAACACAGGATCTGTGTTTTTTCCGAGAAGAAAGAGCGTGGCAATTTTAATTCCTTTAAAGTTGTTTTCGTCTCCCCAAGTTTCTCGAATGGCTTGCCTTGCGTCAAACTCTTTGTGAGTTGTGCTGATAAGAATGACCAAGAAAGGGACACTCTTCTCACATTTGTTGGGCTCATTGATAAGAAAGTCAAAGGAATGTGGATTTATAGGTCGAGTTCTTATGTTGCCAAAGGAAACGTTTTTTCTGGCTATCGATATGCTACTGATCTGTCTGTGGCCGGTGTAGGAAGAAGTAGGACGAGTTATACTTAAGTACCAAAGAGCACTTGCCCAACAAACTACCGTCAAAATGTATAAGCATGAGACCTTTGAAGCCATTGTTCCTCTAGCTCTTCTATTCCATGCGATGAATAAATAGCCTTCGTACCATGAGCGCACCTATGTCCCAGAGAGGCAGCATATTATTAATGAATCTTGAAAGTTCGATTTAGGAAAAAACCTCTGTAATCATTCATGGATCTCAAATAGGAGCTATTAACCCTGATGATACTCAGCTTTTCTTCTTTTACTATGAGCGGCTTCCATTTCTTGGAATTTTCTGTTATTTCTGAAAAATATGAAGAAAAAATTTCCAGATCATAAAAGCCTAGGGCAAGAAAAATGAGCTTAAATATGACTGGCCATTAATAATCTGCGTGTTTTAATATATTTCTCAGATATCCTTTTTTTTTCATGAGGTACCACAATGCAAGATAGTGAACTAGAAAATAGCGGTATAACTGATGTAATGCTTTTATGATTTATAGTTTCTCATAAATGATAATATATTAAAAAAAAGTTAAACATGCATAGCATGTTGGTTATTTAGGTAATTTTAAAAGTATATGAAAATAATTTTCTTGCTTCCTAACATTTTTTCCGGACAATCTTTCACAATATGCCACGGAACATGTCAAAATTATTTAAAGAATGAAAAGTAATGCACTTTATCTTAGGATTAATAGCATTGGTGGTAACTATGCACATGAATACCTACAAATTCCTTTTGGTCTAAACGTTGTTAATGTCTGTCTCTCTAACAAGAGCATTCTTTGGTGGAAATCAGACAGAAAGGTACAGGAGGGAGAGATACGTATGCTGTCTTACCCATGGAAAGATCAGTGCCCGAGTAGACTCCAGAATATTCTAGAAATAAATTAACACAGTTCAGTTATTCTTGTTGGCTGCTGCCTTTACTTTCCATGAACAAACATCATTTGTATATCATGTAAGATAAATCACAATGGAGAAATCACAGTGTCACTTTACTGGCTGGTGTGCAGAGCACTTGCCTTCCCAACCCAGCTTCCTCCCCTGGCAGCCCTCCCTGGCTGCTGTGCCAGCCCTGCCTCTGGCCCTGGGGAGCTTTCAGGCTTTCCTGGATCTGGAGAACGTGCCAGCCCTGAAGCTTCCTTTGCTTTTAGCATGTTTCTTGGGAACCAGCTCTATTTATCTTCATTTCATCAATATGAGACAAATTGCATTAAGTCTGCGGGATCAGTGCTGACTCCTCCAAGACACACCAGTCGCTGGAGAGTGCCTATGGGCTCCGTGATCCAGGATTGGAGATGTAGTGTGTGAGCTATGTAGGTCAGTGTATTTAATGGACTCCAGCATGAAGGTATCACAACTACTTCTAATATCCTGCATATGATGAATTATTTTAGGAAGCTATATACTGGATTCTCTGAATGCATATGTTCTCCTACATCTTTTCTTTAATAAAGGCAGGTGCATTAGTTACCATGAGTACTGTGCAGATATCTGATGGAAAGGAAAATTGTAACCATTGCTTCTTACAAACTGCAAAATTACATAAAATAGCTTTTCAGTACAGCAATGCCATGGCTGTGATGCCCAATCTTGTGTGCTCTGAAAGGATTAGAAGCAACAAAAGCCTTACACCATTTTGAAGAAAGATTCTAGGCTCTATTGTAAGGATTTGTTTGCTCAGTTATGAAGATACACAGATAACTGTTTCTCCTGGATGAATATCTCTTGTATTGGCCCTCGGATTGCTGTCTCTTGAAATAAGTTTCTCTTTTTCTGTTGTGTGTTAGGTTTGGAATTTTTGTTTGTTTGTTTGTTTTGCTTTTTTAAAAGAAAAATAAGAGTTCAGATGGTGTTCTTTGATTTGGAGATCTGGTGGCTTCATTTTCCACCATCCCTGTGGTAATTTTTGAGGAAAGTCCATGTGAAGTTGTTAAGGGTGAACTGGCTGTAGTTTTCCTGATGAATTTAATTATTTTTTAGGAAGACTGAGGGGAAAAACAAGAAGAGAGTTCTCTGCTTTCCTGCCATGGGTGTCTCTGCTATTCCTACTCTGATGAGAGGTGAAGATGAGTAGATTAAAGTTCACGTTCCTGCTTTACCTAAGTTTTTCCTATATATGGGGAAGAGATTTGGAAGAAAATAACACAAATAAAATTGGCAAATAGTGCAAATATAAAAAAAATAATTACTGAGGGGTCTTGGTCTGCTATTTTAGCTGAGGTTATTGTCACCTTCAGGACTGATCTCTCTCATTCTTTGCGGGATCGCAGAGGAAGGGGATTGGATAAGTAGCGGTCATGTGTAATTTTTTGGCCATTGGGTAAATGCTCCTACAAATAATTTCTGGTAACATTGTTCCTGCACGCTAATTCCAATAGTGTTTAGCTTGCACAAGCAAGAAAATACATAGCTGATTAGGCAGTGAAACATGGTGAAATATGTATTTTGTGATTATTTGGCAGTCAAGAATTTCAGAGGTTGCCAAATTCTGTTATTAAAGACAATGTTAATTCATCAAGATCCTGAACAAGTGCCTAACTCAGACTTTCTTAGAACTAATCTTGTGTCGAAGGTATCTTGCAAAATTATTTACAGTATCAAAGATTTGCTATCTGTGACAGCAAACCTTTTCTTTGTCATGTGTTGTGACCTGAAACTGAACTCTGCAGCCATGTAATATGTGGGATATCAAGGAAATGAGTTACAAGGAATGAAATCAGAGTGTAAAATTAATGTGCTCAAATTATAGTGTGTTAAAACTTTTGTGTTAATTACTCATTTAGAAAAGAAGAGAAATAAAGTATGTGAACTAAGGTCACTACTTTCACGCAAATAACAACTGAAAGCACTTAAATGCCCGCCCATTATTGTGGTTCCTTTAGCAGTTTGCCCAGAAGTTTTTCAGAACATTTTTAATCTAGTCAATAGTAAATATCTCAAAAGTTGATTTAAATGTTAAAATGTGTAGCATTCAATAAGGTACTGTGCTCCTGATCCTGGATTCAGTATATTGTCATTATGAGGATGACCTTTTTTTTTTTTTCTTTTTTAGTTTTGCCATGATCTTGAATTTGGTGTGATATATGTTTGAAGGTCCTCTAACAGCAGGTTATGGATTGTCACAGAGGGAGCAGAAAGTTTCTACCAGTTTTGGGCTTTGTCTGTTGGGGTAGGGTATGTCATATTTGGGGACACTGGCACAGAGCAAGGGAAAGTGTTACCCCCTTTTCTCTGTTCTGTGGGGTAAAAGAAAGCTTTTGAACAGGACAGCAGCAATGTAAAGCTCTCGGATACTTGCTCTTAAAGATATTTTAATTCAATCTGTCCATTTTCCAAACCTGGCTGTCATACTATTAGTAATCAAAGGCTCAAGCATTGCTAGGGTAGATGATTGTACAAAGCAAATGTTTAGCATCATGTTTCCATATTGTGAATCGAAATTGTGCACTTAATAGCACTACTCACAGCTCATGCTGTGTGAGCCAGAGAAGCCACCCAGTTGGAGAACAGAAGCATTACTGTGTAACTTCTGTAAGTAATTGACCTGATGGAGACTGTGAGCGTTTGCAGCAAACCTTTTTCGAGCTGACTGCACATCAAGAATAATCCTCCAGATAATGAGCACATTTGAGAATCTTCCTAACTGTGGGCATTTCAGGCGGATGTCAAATGAGTTCAGCAAACGTTTCTCACCAACTGCAATATTTTGTCAGTATTTCCAGACGCTGCTGTCTCTGCTGAGACATTGTTGATCTTTCCCTTCCAAGAAAGCCCATGCTATTTAAGTGCAGTTGCATTAACGTATCTAGATCACAGTGGACGCACATGATAGAAACCACAGCTATTCAAGCCTGGAATGTAGCCATAGTTGTAATCCATACTGCTGAGGCATAATGTAGGTGCTGAGCGGAGGCAGTCAGGATGCTGAGCCCCAGGGATGACCCCGGGTGAGAAGCCACGGGAGGCCACAGCTGCTCATCCTGACACTCAGGAGCCTGGTGGGCAGAGCATGACTGAGTTGAATTAACACTGTGCACCTCTGCCAAAATGTACCTATTCCTTTCCCAGAAAAAAAGAGGGAATGCAGCTGCTAAATTATTTAGTAAATCTAGCAAACGCTTCTCACTTTCCCTGAAGAGAGATTTTTGTAAGGGTTTTCTAGATCATGGCTTTCATCTGCATATAGACCAAGACACTGAAATGTCTTCACCATTTATGAAGTCCTTAAATTACCTTAGGAAAAGTCTGTGACTATTACCGAGTCTTGTTGAGAAGATAATGATCCTAAACATTAAGAACACATCTACAAAGAAAGCTGGAGATGCTGTTATGTTCTTGGCTGTGTGTTTTCATTGTAATTTCTTGGGGAAATTCTGGACAGATGGCATAGGTTATTTAACAGGAGATTGCAAGCTCCTCTCTGGCAACTTCATTCGAAGGCTTCTTAATATTCCAAATGCTTTTTCTGTGCCTCGGTGTAATGGACTTGAAACTAAATCACTGCTGCAAAGGAAGACCTTCCTCTCTAGAATATATGTGGAAAGGGACTGTAATAGATGTAGAAGCCACAGTCTCAGGTTGAGGGGAGGAAAGTACAAGCATTTATTTCTGGTCCATGGTTTTTAGAAAAATCGCTTCTACTTTGGGGGTTCCCAAATGTCATATGTTAAAAGAGGCTGGCTTCCCTTCTCTTCCTTCAAAGGCAATGAGGACAAATATTTTCTAAAAATCAGGCTATGTTTTAAGACATGCTGTTTGTACACAGAGAACCATTCCTTCACAGAAATATTAATGACGGGCTTTACCTTAGGCAGTAACTGCATGTGAAAGCAAGTATTTGCACAAGTAAGCCTTTCATATGAACAGTTCTCTTTTCATGAGTGCTGATTTGTAGACGGTTTATGCTGTATTTCATCACTGAATTGAAGAACTGATCTCTGGAAATCAGTTTGGGATTTTCAAATTATTTTTCAATATTTACTACCTGTTCTTAATCTGAATGAAAAGTAAGAATGACTGTGCATTGGAAAAAATTATGAAAAGCTTCCCTGTATAATAGGGAAAATTCAAGTTGTAGAAATTCCAGAAAATGTGCTCATGCTACCAAAATTCCCTAACCTTTAATTGAGGAGTCTTTTAAGAGTTAAAAGTTACTCTATGTGAAAGCAAATCTGCATATCAGTGACTTTTCTGTATTATCCACTTTATATTTTTTCAATGAATGTCTCTCTATGTAAACAGGATTTTCTGTTCTTTTTCAAGAACTGCCGAGATAGCTTACATAAAACAATTAAACTGTATTTTCATTGCTTTTTTCTCATGCTTAAGAATGAGTTATGCACCTTTTTTTTCCTCAACGAAGTGTACATTAAAAAGTAAACAGTTTCCACCATGACTAAGCTGTGAAGTACAGTTTTCAATTGCAGATGATAAAACAGTTGAAAGCAATATTTAGTAATATATGGATCAACACAAATGTCAGATTTACAGCAGAGCGGACTGGGATAGGCTACTAGTGAGGAAATGTGAGCTTGGCATGAATCATCATTCCTTGGCTGGCAATGTACACAGGTGGGATCTCAGTGTTGGTTTGAGTAGCGTTTCTTTCTGGCTTGGTTTGTACACCAAGAGCTTTGTAGCTATAAAGTCCCATCCAAGTTTTGGAGCTCAGGAAGTATTTTCTATGCAGAAAATATTTCACTGCTTTCTTTGAGCAGAGACTTGAGAGCTGCTAGGTTGGCCACACACTGTTCAGAGATTTTCCTACTCACACAGGGAGCTGAGTAATAGCAATCAGCCTCAGTATGATTGAGAAATAGCTGCCTTCTCTTGCGGTGACTAGGAGCCTGGTCTGCACCAGATGTGCCCACATGGGGCTTCTGTAGCTGTGTTTTCTTCCTGGTAAATCTGGCACTGGATAAAACTGGTCTTGGAGAGCCCCTTGTGCTGGTGGTGGAGGACAATGTGGTGATAGGTCAAGATTCAAACTTGTCCAAACTGGATGCTGCACCTGTTTGGATTTTGGTAATTCATAAGAGGAAAGCATTCACAGTTGGTTTGCTAACCAGAAACTCAAAATAATACTCAACTCAAAATAATACTAAAACTTGGGACATGCCAATCAGCAGTTCTGTCTTGTGATACTGCTGTTGCAAATGATTCATCTGGAGCCAGGACATGCTGCTATTAATGCGAGTTTTGCTGCTGACTTTAGTATCAGGCATTTTAAGCACATACTCTTTGCTCTAACTAAAGGGGAGAGAAAAGAAAAGAAGAACATAAACTGAAAGAGCAGAATAATTTTTAACAGAAATCTTTTCCTTTTCTTTTTATTTTCTTTTTCTTCTGAAGTTGGCCAGGAGATGTCAAGTGTCAGATCTGTGCATTTTTCCCATGAATGCTTTTCAGAAACAATTTTTAAAAACACTTTGTGACCTCATGTTGTGATAGGTCATTTGTGATTACATCAATCATGTTCTGTTACAGCAGTAATGTGAAAAATGCATCCCAGTACAGTTATAAACTGATGCAAATAACGTATTTCGCTTTGGGTTACCATAGCCACAACCATTATTTTCTTCAGCTATTGTGCTGTGCTCTATTGTGAAATTTCACAGCGAGGTTCCTTAGCTCATGTCACCACTGAATTGGTTACAATATTTTGCATCTAATGAAAGTTTAGGATTAAAAAAAAAAGAGGCTTTGAGTTGGTAAAAAAAATTTAAGGGGCAAACCTTTAGAACCGCTTTAGCAAAATCTTTATTGTAAAACAATTTTACATAATTTATTACCAGAGTCAATAGGTTAAATTCCCTTCAAGTAATAGTGTTTGAAATCAAACATACTGCTGTTCTTGCCTTAACCTTCTTAAATCTCACTATTTCATTTCCTTTGTATTCACAACAATGCCTGTGAAAAAGTGATCTGGTTTATGACACCAAGAATAGATGACAGTGGCCTTGATTATATAGATGCCTACCCTAGCGGCACTGCCATTCTCAATTAATCTATGTCACAAAAAGGAGGAGTAACCATTCTGTAAAGACTGGAACACCTGAAATCACACTTACAGTGCCTGTGGTGATGACAACTCATTGAACTGGATAATGAATCTACTTCCCGTAATTCATATGTTATATGGGGCACTGGAAGAAAAGTATAAGCAATTAGAACTTTTGGATTTACTGGGAAAAGTTCTAAAATAGTTTTGAACCTGCCCGTTAAAGTATCTGTCGTGAGGTTTGGGGAAATTTGCTTTTAACCTTATAAAGATGGGAGGCATTTCAGGCTCAACACATTGATTATTGCTATGTATAAATACATCTTTATAACCTCAGAGCACAGCTTTTCTTGATAGGTAGCTACTGGAGGGATTCTTCCCTATCTCGGGTGCGTCTGTATGATACCCTTATTCACTGTAATTGTTATATACATTTCTTTGTGAATGATAGAGATATATTTTTTAAAAGGCTAAAAATTAGCTAGGATTCGCATTGCTTTCTCATTTCTTCCACGGCAAGGAGCTACATGGACTCTTCTTTTCTTCCTCTCCTGAAAATATTCCCCATGTTGAAGAGTTACAAGAGCCTTGCTCTGTTCACCCAAAACCAGGTTGCAGTTCTGCTTATTTCGTGTTTGCATTACAGTAATTAATGTAAAGCATTTGTTGCTATGAGCTGTCAAGAAACAGGAAGTCAAGCTTCTAGTTTCCAATTCCCATTGTGAGGTAGTTGTAGTACATTTAACGCAAACTGTTGCTTTCAAAATTGCACCTGTCTCTCACAGAACTGTAACATTAAAACAACACCCAACCAACCAACCAAATGACTTTTGTCTTCAACCTAGAAAGCATGGCCCATACTTCAGCCAGATGACTTATTCTGTGAAAAGGTTTCCTAGACATACCCTTTTTTTTCTTTTGATTTGTTTGTTTGTTTGGGGTTTTGGTTTTGTTTTTTGGTTTTGTGGTTGTTGGTTTTTTTTGTAATTAATTACTCATGATTGAAACTCCCCACATTATAGGAATTTTTCTGGGCGTGGTTTTCTGATAGCATGGCCTTAAATCTGGCAGTGGCAAATAACTGCAGCTCTCACACAGCCAGGCGGTGGCTGCCTGCAGCTGGCTGCGCCCCCTCCCCTCCAGATGGAAAGTTTTCCAGGGATGCTCCCTCCGCACCTCGCCAGCTGCGGCACTGAGCCCTTGCAGTGCCAGCCGGGCTTTCCAAACAAGTTATTTTACAGAGAAGGGATAGTCAGCTTGGAAAAGTGGGATTTGCACTGAAAGGAGCTGGCATGTCATCTTACTGTCTTGGCTGTTTGCCTTAAATACATGAAGTGTTGTGTTCCCTCCAAGGAGCTGGTATTAACCATCAGCTGGTATATATGTTCACGGACGCGCTGACCTCAGCACAGCACAGTCCAAATGAGGGGCAGCACTTCTGGCTGTTAGCTATATATGATTGCCTTTACAACGAAGATGGAAACATGTTTCTTTTCACTTTGTCATAACTAAATGGTAGATGGGGTTTTGCTCAAACTTAAATGAAAGCCTACTTTTACTGGGGATTGAACAAGACAAATTTCAGCTGCAGAAAAGATCATTTTTTGCAAAGCTATTACCATTTGAGAGCAAGGTAGTGTCAGGCTCTTTCAACTAGCACATACGGAACATTTCACAGCCGTGACCCCAGACAATTTGTCAGCATTTAGTTTTTTGAAGCTTGCAGCTGAAAGGACCATTGCACAATGTTACACTTACACATTCATAGAACATACTCTCAACACAAGGGGCCCTTTCTCTTGTGGCAAGGATTTAAAAAATTGGATCATAGTAACTGGAGTTTTTTGGATGACTCAAATAAAGGAGAGCATGCTGTAGTAAATTGGTAAATATATATCCTCGTGAAACCACAGGAGTAAATTTGTCCTCATTCTTCTAGGATTTTTCAAAAGTGCAGCAAATTGTGTCCTCAGCTGAGACACAAGTTTGAAAAATACTGTTCAGGATCACAAATGGGGTGCTGCCTCCTTAGCTAAACTATAAACCCATTCTAGGTCATCAGCTATGCCTTCTTAGCTCACCCTCTTCCCCAGAATAATGTTTCTTATTTTTCCTCTTTATTCCCTTTATGAAAACTGTGAAAGTTGTCCATTAGTCTCAGAGAAAGAAACCTGGGTGTCTCTGGAGAAAGCAGCCAGTTAACAGCTTTTCCATTTGTGCTCAGATCAGAGTTTAACTTGAGCCCCGTGAGAGTTGTTGTAGGCAAAAATTGAGGAAGTTTTCTCACAAACTGTTATTGATGAGCAACAGTTCATGAGAATTTCTCAGTTAATAACTCTTATCTCCCAGCTGGGCACAATATGGCTGATAATCTTGGGTATCTAATAAACCTGCAGGAAGAACTGCATTCTGGTACAGTATAAATCTGAATTCCTGTTTCAACTCACTTTTTATCACTTATGTCATTAGAGATATCCTTCATGTGTACTTTTAAAGTTTTCACTAGGGACCATAAATTTCAAATCCTGAAGAACTCTGTGAGCAGTCAGGAATACTAACTCTGATTTTTCACGTCCTTTGTCTGTGAGCCTTCCTAATTAGGGGTATTTGCAGTGACTGGTAACTAGGAAAATAGCTAAGCAAACTTCTTCCTTACGTGCGTGTATGTGTGTTTGTCTTTCTTTCCCTAAACATAACAGGGCCCATTTCTGTGGGCTCATTATACTGCCAGCACTTTTTGCATTCTCTTTTTCCTATTGTGACTAGTGAAGTGTAACTGTTTCAATTGCAGGTTCTCAGAATAATTGGGAATTCTCCAATTGGCTTCTCCACCTGTAATTGTGTTGTCCCTGGTGGGCTGATGAAGGTGTGAATGTAGACGCATTGTCTGTATTGAAGGATTCTCAAAACATGGGCAAATTAGTGTTATGTAAAGGATGGCCTTAAGCATATTCACAGTTGAAAAGCAGGGAAAGCAGTCTTCCTCCTCTTCCTCCCAGCTTGACTGTTAGTCAGGCTCTACTGTGGCATGGGTAAAGCATGTGATCAGATTGCTGTTCCAGAGAAGGTTATGCATCAACTTGTAGGCAGCCCTGCTCAGTGCTTTCTGATGCTCTGCTTTGGTGCGTTGCACCATCGGCATCAGTGATGTCGAGGTTGGCTGTCTGCCTTGATTCTGATGCAGCTCAACAGATAAAATTCTCTTTTTATTGCCCACTTTTCTTTGGGACATGTGAGCTTCTGCTTGGAGAGGAATATAATACACTGCTGATAGAAAGCAACTTTGTGAATCAATAAATAGTAAATATATTCTGTTACTGTGCCCAAAGGGAATCATATCATACCTTAGTTATCCATGTATTCGAGGCCAAGCCTTAAGGAGAAAGAGGGTACATGAATGTACAGTGTAAAAATACAGATTGCCTCTCTTAGGTCTCCACCTGTGGACCTTCAAGAGCTTTATAAAAACAAGTTCACTAAGCAGCTGTATACCCAAAGGAGGGTGGTAATATAGTAATAAAATCTGCCAAGGAAGTTAAGGGTCCAAACCTTGATATGTACCTCAGGGCTGTAAGAATTAAACAGAGTGGTTTGACAGAGAGATATTCTTCTGGGAGACTTTTTCTTATGGAAACAACGTAAGATCAACCCCCTCTTTTGATCATTTTCTGAACTTCGGGGGTGCTTAGTCTTTGAGTAGAATCAGAAGAGATTGCTATATAAATAACGTGAACTCAGACCTCTGGAGGAACGTGCGTGGCTCATAGCATAGCTGGAAACAACAGGGATTCTCCTGAGCACATTTAAACTCTATGCATGTTTCCCTCAACATCTTAAACCCTTCTCTCGTTTTTGGTGGTTTCCTTTCAGCATTATTTTAATCTGAGAGATCTCTTGAACAAAAGAGATTTTAAAGCTGTCTGCAGTGTGTGGTTCCATTTATTTCCCAGCTATTCTGATATCAAAGGCAGCACAAATCAAAAAATTATGTGAAATGCAGTAAAGCAGCCATCAGGCCAACTGCTGAGGGATCACTCAGGCCATGGGAAGAACGCTGCTTTGCTGTGTGACTGCGTGCTTGATGTGGGAGTCCCTTAGGTGATGACACAGCCAGTGTCTCCTCTGGTGCTTTCTATCTAGCAAGGAAGAAGGTGGGCTCTGACTCACTCGCCTCATATGGAAAAAGCCAGGAAACATGGGGGTTGATGCAAACATCAGTAACGCTTTGTCCTGCTTGGGAGAAAATAATTGATTTCCTGGCACTCTCATTCAAAGCAGGGTAAGAGCTGCTGGAGAGGCTGGGGGTGTCTGGCTAAACCCTGCCAGGAGGAGAGGCCATCCTGGCTGGGGTGTGAGGCGTGAAGCCTCCCCATACTGTGTGGTTCAAGGTGGGAGGAAGACAAACAATCTAAATGCACAAAAGTTCAAATTATTCTCTAAAAGCCTTTCTTGCTACTGATGCAATGAAGAGTGATGTCCCATAGCAAAAGGATGTAAATAATTTCTTGATAGTTTCTTCTAGCTGCATGGTAACAACGTAACTAAGAGCTGCCCAATACTTTTAAAGAGAACTTCAGTGTTTTATTATTCTTTCATACTCTTAAGAAAAGCTCTCTCTTTCTCTGTGCTTTCCTTTGAACAAATTAATTTGCCAGTCTGTATAGCTCAGAGTGCATGTACTTTGCAAAGATGCTGCCATCTGCCATTTAGTTTCCTTTCTAAGCTGTGATCTTAGACATTTATTTCAGGGGAAAGGAAGCCAAGTGGTTGAGTTTATTTTCCCTTTGTGTGAACAACAATGGGAATAATTCCAGAGCCAGGCAGCAAGGCTGTCTGAAATGCCAACTGCAAATCACCTTTTCAGTGAGGCACTAATTCATTCTGTGAAAAATATGCACAAACTGGAGAAAAGAACTCCATTTCAATTCCTCCCCCGTCCACTGGCTGGAGCAATTAAACTCCAAATAGGCAGTTTTTGTGATGATTTATGTCAAATTATTTTTTTTACTTTTCCTAACCCCTATTTCTCTCCACTTCCCCTCCCTCTCAGCCCCTTGCCATGCATGCCTCCTGTAGGAGACGGAAGAGCAATGGAGGGTGCTGCTGGGCACATGGCAAGGCCAAGGATGCCAGGAGGCAGATCCT